CACATTCCCACTTTGTCTTCTCCGGAAAATTTTGAGTTTTTAAGACCTCAACAACCTTAAGCTTATATGTTCTCCGACCACCTCCTCATCTCTGTCACTAACCCTCGCCATCTCCGTCACTAACCATCACAATCTCCCTTGGTACCACCATATGCATTTTCTAATTACTTCTCCATTTTTCACCCCCACCATCTCCACATTGATGATTCCAAAAATCCATTTTAAACTACAGCGACATTTACCCTTTAATGAATGGTATGATTTTTAAATTGAACAGTTTAAAATACTATGTATATATTGCGTAGTCTGCATGACGTAGTTGATCCTAGCCTTTTCTATGCATATAGCTAGCTCACGAGTCACTAGAATCATCAATGTGTGAAAAATTCTGCTGAAAGTGACTGCAATGCAATATATGATCATTTTCTGGTTTTGATGCTTTAATTGTGCAGCAGTGAATAATGTTGGGATCCTATGGTGAATCCAAATGATTACCTTAACAAGCTTGGATGACATCTATAAATGACGTGTACAGTGATTAATCAAAAGTAATGGGTGAAAGCCAGTGTGTATACACTTCCATCCACGTACGACATGTTAGATTGACAATGGGATTGGATTTAGCCGAGCTACTGGAAGACAAACCAAAGGGTTAGCCCTAGGAAGTGTGATCCCAACTCCTTCTTCCATATCCACCCTAACAAGCTTCCCATCTTCTCCAGCCTTCCACTCAAAGCACTGAATCATACAACCAAGAGTTGCATGTATCACCTGCAACGCTAGTGAAGTCCCAGGACACATCCTCCTCCCGCTCCCAAATGGCAGCATGTGAAAGTGTTGTCCTCTCACATCCAAGTGGCACTCTTCAAATCGTTCTGGCCTGAATTCAAGAGCGTTTTCCCAATGGTTTGGGTCTCTACCAAGGGCCCACACGTTCACAAATATAGTAGTGTTTGCTGGAATATGGTAACCTGCTATCGTGCAATCTCCTGTTGATTGTCTTAGAATCATTGGGCCTGTGGGGTGGAGTCGTAGGGTTTCCTTCAAGATTGCTTGAAGGTAAGGAAGGTTTGGTATGTCTGATTCTTGTAAAAGTCTGTCTTTTCCCACAACTTTCTCGATTTCTTCTACTGCTTTCTTCATGATGTTTGGATGGTTGATGAGTTCTGCTAAAGCCCATTCTGTGGTAATTGCCGAAGTGTCTGTTCCTGCAGCAAATATATCCTGATATGACGACATATAGATATATATAGGTCAGTATATTTTAATCTACAAATACCAAAATACATGGGAAATATATGATCATAATGTTACCAGAATGAAGGCTTTGATGTTCTCTCTGGTCAGCTTTATCTCCATACTTTGGTCTTCTGCAACATCAAGTAACATGTGGAGCAAATCCTTCACTACTCCTATCTTCTGTTTTCTTGCCTCTTCATGCTCTTTCATGATCCTCTCAATCAATGCATCGAATCTTCCATGAATCCCTTTCAGTTGTTTCCCAAAACCCTGCAAGTCTAGATTCTTAAAGATCCAAATGTAGTCCGAGAGATTGAATTTACCAGTAATCTCAGCGATTTCAGTCACCAATTTCTTCATTTCCCCGGCTTCATCCTCTTCCTCTGAACACCTTTCTGTCATAAGCATTCTTGATATGACATTGTTTGTCATCTTCACGAGCTCCACATCAAGATCCACCGCATGCCCAGCTTTTGCCTTTCTTTCTAACGATTTAATAAAACGATTTATCTCATCTTGCCTAACTGGAAGAAGCAAGTCTAGTGTTGTGCCATTTAGGAGCTGTGACATGACTATCTTCTTCATGAACTTCCAGTATGATCCATAAGGAGCAAAGGAGAAATCTTTTGATCCATAAGTTAAATAAGCCACAGCCGAGTTTTGGGGTCGATCTAAATACGCATTTTCATAGGTTTTAAGGAATTCTTTTGCCACTTCTGGTGAACCAGTAACAACACAAGGTATAGAGCCAAGAAAGAGGCGAAAAACTGGCCCATATTTGAGAGAAATCTTGTGAAAAGCTTGATGAGGGATTGGAGCAAGGAGATGCAGGTGTCCAATGATTGGAAGGGCAAAGGGGGTTGGTGGAAGATTAAGTTTTTTAGCACGAATAGATTTTAAGAATGAGCGGATGAAGATGGTTGAGATCAGCCATATGAGAAAGAGGATGAAGTAGCCATGGAAATCAGCCATGGTAAGAAAGAACTTTTAAGAAGATGATGTGTTCAAACAAGAAAAAAGATTCTTATATTTATATAAAATGAAACCTCTCTTTTCCAAGTTATAATGAATAAAATACGCTTTCCACATCTGCTATTTATCTTTTTTAAGCAGATGCTAGACGGCAATGACAATTGACAAATGATGGTTGATGGGATTAAGACCAAGTCTTCTGTTAATGATTGTTGGTTACTATTTTCATCATATATTTGGAGTTTTTCTGCCTTGATATATCAGTTTTATGAATGCAAAAAGAAAGGAGCATTTAAATCATATTGAAGAAGCTTAATCGAGCACCCATTTCAGCAATATTTAATCATGCAAACATCAAGTAACTTGTCTTGTTGTCTTACATGATCCAACAAGTAACTTCCATCAAGAAGAAATGGTCTTAATAACATATAATATTAAATAAACAAAAGGGCTACTGGATCTATATATCAAGGCATCACATACATACAAACAAACAAATGCTCTACTAACTTGTAACTCATGCATTAGAAATTCAGTAAAGGGGATTCCTAATGAAAGAATTACTAACAGTAATTGAGAAGAATTTCTCTTGGATAAACTTGCTAAAGATTTGTTGGATATTTTGAAGAGGAAACCAATTACTATACAACAATCAACAATATGCGAAGCATAGTAGTAATAATTTCATTAAATGAATCAAAATTTTGTATATCGTAGTAAGACTGTTAGAAATAATAAAAATGTTATTAATGTTAATACTAATAATAACCAATTGCAAAGAATGGTAACATCATACATCATTGGAGCACTGAGTGGTTACACACAAATCGATCATCCTAGAAAAATTCTATACTCTCTTTGTACAAAATTTTCAGCTTGAGTGGGAAAATTGGCCTAATTAATGAATGATAATATCAAAAAGTAGTTAAAAATCTAAAAAGCCAATTTGGGTTGTAGAATATATTGACAAAAATTATCCACAGCATCCACCACCCTTTGCACCAGAGTTTGCATCCTGATCAACAAGTATCGCTGTTCCTTTGAGAGATGCTGATTTTTCAGAATCTCCATCAGCACTTAGAGTTTTCTTGCTTACAATCCCATATATTTCTGTCAAAGCTGTTAGAAATGCAGTTTCAACGTTTGTGGACTCACGTGCTGATGTTTCCATGAAATATAGTTTTTCTCTTTCTGCAAACTCTTTAGCATCTTCAACTGGAACTGCTCTAAGAGTTTCTAAATCACATTTGTTTCCAATTAACATGATTACTATGTTTTTATCAGCATGTCCCCTCAGTTCTTCTAGCCACCTGGTCATATGGTCAAACGACTGGCGTTTTGTCATGTCATATACTAACATTGCACCAACTGCTCCTCTGTAATATGCACTTGTCACTGCCCGATATCTGATAAAAAGACGTTAAAGATTTGTACTTTAGGAAGGTATGATTGAAAAAGTCCATCTTTTTCTGGTATAGGATTACGTTAAACTTCATAAACAGAAGAAATTCAAAACCTAACTTTATGAAGATGATGATCAGATATTGTACAGATGAAATGATTAATTAAGGAGGAAAAAACCTTTCTTGACCAGCAGTATCCCAAATCTGCGCCTTCACCATCTTCCCATCAATTAACAAAGATTTTGTTTGAAATTCAACCCCAATCGTAGCTTTTGAATCGACATTGAATTCATTTTTGGCAAAACGCGCAAGGAGCTGAGATTTTCCAACAGCCGAGTCTCCGATCAATACTACTTTGAACACATAATCGGCCTTTGCATTCAAATCTCCCATCCTCAAACCCTGCCAAATACAATATAACCCTTTTCAACCAATTCCTAGACCTCGATCGAGTCACCCCCTTATTAACAAAATCAAATTAATCTTTTTCCTTCAATGAATCATGTGGAAATCTTTTGGACTGTGATCCAAAAGATTTTTCTGATTTTTTGACGCAGATATGAATATGATAACAACGAGGCAATGTGATGAGATGATCGTAAGGAATGTGAAGAATTAATTAGATGTTTTACAGGAATGTGTTTCAGGGTTAGGGTTTGTCAAGGAAATCGGTGTATCGGCATGACGATTCTCTTTCTTTTGATCGAAAAGCAGTTGGAAGAAAGGGGGGCGAGATGGGGGTGAATGAGCAACGGCTTGTGCGGGGCCCAAAACGGTTTTTCAAAGTAATTATTATACGTACTCAATTTTATTCCTAAATTAAATATCTAATTTAATTCATGAAATGGCAAGGAACTTTCGTTAATTTATTTTTATTATTAGTATTGTCCTTTAAAATGTATTTAATAGCTTAATTAAGAGGTACGAAAGTTAATCTCTCTCTCTCTATGTATATAGACGGGAAAATGACTTATATGGGTAACTATGTTTCAAAAACGTTCAAAAAATACAATTCAAGTTTGGTGTGTCCAAAAAACACCATCCAAATAAAGCATTTGTATAAAAAACACCAACGAAGTACATTCTTTGTTCAAATTTGACCTTTGATAACCGGCAATTACCGGTAAAAAATAAGTAAAAGAAAAAAACAATAGGAAATGACTCAAAGAGGTAACTATGTTTCAAAATCGTTCAAAAAACACCATCCAAGTTTGATATGTTCAAAAAACACCATTCAAGTAAACTTTTTGCACAAAAAACACCAACAAACTATATGTTTTGTTCAAATATTACCCACCGGTAATTGGTTCTTACAG